GACCTGTCTGTGATAGCCAGGGTCTGAGGCTGAACGGTGAGGAAATTGGTAAAATAGAAGAGGTTTTCTGATGTTTGAATAATTCTGGTAAATCAAATTTGTGTATGTGCACAGAGTTGTCTGAGGAAAAATAGATGAAGTAAAGCCACCATGTTTTCCTCCTTCAAGAGAAGGGAGGGAGACAGTTTGTGTGTGGTGGTTCAGGTGTTTTCAGTCACTGTGGTACGTAGTTCACACTGTGCTAGGCAGTTCTACAAAAACATTTGTGGGCTTTTCAGTGCCAGGTGATGTCTCCTCTTTCATGTCTTTGTAGTGCTGCCTTTTGTTTTCCTGTCCCTCTACGCTGCTCTACTTCTGAACATCTAACACTGTTCCAGAGGATTCCCTAAAATAAAAATATCATTATCATCCTTGCTCTTGAGTAGTTAATTATTCAAAGTAGTAGGCAGATTGAGTAGTTAATATTAATGTCTTTAAAATATTGCCCTGATTTTTACGTGGGAGAAGTCACTGAGGCTTAAAAACTTTATTTTCATTCTTTATTCCCTAAGCCCTTCTGGACCTTCAAGCACATCTGTCCTTAAAGCCTATTTGCATGACAAAAAAATCTGTCCATGTTTAGAAATTGTTCAGAAGATATTTTGGTTCAGCTGATGGGTCTTTCATTGTCTCTCTTTGAATTAGTGACCCAAAAAGATGCTTATTTACTCAGCTATTTAATTTTTAGTATTTCTTACGTGAGTTCCATTTTTATAATGGTCATATGAGTTTTGTCCCAATTAGATCAACAGTTTTTTTCCCCTTAAATTTTTTAATCTTGTGAAATGATTATTTGACCACTGAGTTGGTCATTGTTTGGAGTTTTCATTTATTTGTATGGCTTTTCAATGAGTTTCTAGGGAGGGAACACCTGGTTATAGATACTGAAGTTGGCTTTTAATTTGATGTTCTTCTTGCTTTAATAATTTTTAATAATGGTAGCTTGGATTTGTGGACCTTTTCCTCAACCTTGGATGCAGTTCTAAGCTGCAAATAGCATGATTTCATCCTGTTTTCATTGTTATTATTCCCAAGGATAGAGGTGTGTTTCTCATTTTTAACCAGTGATTATAACATTAAGGCTCCTAATTCCCATTGGTAACTGGCATATGCTCATCTGCTCTTCCCTTAAGTGTGTCAATTTTTTTTCTCTTCCTTGTTGCTTGAGTCTTGCAGGAAAGCTGGGGAATGTCCTGATGTGATGTTTGCAGTCGGTTCCACCCTTGGCATGAAAAAGAGAACAAGCCCTAAACCCCTCCTGCCCCAGGCCTGGGCACACACAGGTGCCTCTCACATGCCCTGCCCTGCCTGGCAAATCCTCCCAGAGCAGTGAGACCTCACCCTGCTCCTCACTGAGACCTCCCAGGCCGTTAAACAGCCCCTTTGCATTCAAGTGGCCACAGAGAAACACCTGTGCTCACAGCCACCCAGAAGCAACACATGCTGGCATTTTTTTGCTTTAAAACTCAGTTCTGCCTTTTTTTTTTTTTGCTATCAGTGTCCTGTATCAGTGCCTTGGTTGGAAAGATAGCTGTCTCCCATGGGAGGCAAGAACCTCCTTTGGAATGGAAAAACATGACCCCCTTCCCTCTGAATTATTATGACTTATTATATAAATATAATTATATGCATTATTGTCCTGGTTTAGGGCAAATTTGGGAGAAAACCACCAAAAGGGGGCCCCTCCAGAAAGCAAGCCCACACGGCCCCTCCCCCCAACCGGTTTGGGAAGGATTCCTTGGAGAGAAGTGGAAAGAACCTGTTTATTTAACAGGCACAGCACCGCCAGCACACAAAAGGAGCAAGACCAGATGACATCACTCTTTCACTGCTCTGAAAAAGATGATAAATTCAGAAAGTCTCTCCTGGGGGTGGTCGCTCTGTTATCAGTTGGTTCTGTGCTGGGGTAGCTGCTGCAGGTCACAAGATGCAAATTCTTGGTGTTTCCCAGGTCCCAGTCCAGAGCAGGTTCTAGTAGGTCCAAAGAAAAGGGAAAGGAGAAGAACAGTCCAGGAAAAATTTGGACTGCTTAGCTAAACTAACTAATGAGCAGAAGCGAAAAGCAAGAGCAAAGCAGGAGAGAGAGCGAGAGCAAAGCAAAAAGCAAAAGCAGCACCCATGGTCTGCCCCGTCTCTGTCCCGCCAGCTGTGGGGGAGCAGCTGATAGCAAAAGCAAAACAAAACATTTGCTCTTCAAAGCCAGACTTGAAGGCACAGAACATAATATGCAGCATGAACAGAACACACAAATGGGGATACAACCATCATAACGTCATCCTAGGACAATCATTATATGGTGCTTTCAGGCAAAGATACAGGGAAAGGAATAACAGTCCTTTACTAATAAATAAATGTATAACAACTCAAACAAACAACAGCACCAAACAGACCCAGACACCCAGGCCCGGCCTCTCTCGGCCGCAGGCGCTTTCCCCTTCGGTGCAGTTCCGGGCACAGCCAGCAGGGGCGCTGCTGGCTCCCGGCCGGGCAGGGCGGGTGCGGTGATTCCCCGGCGCCAGCAGGGGGCGCTGTGGCGCGAGCTCGGCTCCCTCATGAGGCGATGGCGGCTCAGGCGGTGGAGGAGAGGGAAGGTGGCTCCCTTTGCAAAACTCACGGGGAGCAGCCGGTCTCAGCGCCACTGAGGGTGGTGAATTGTGCTCCAGCAGGAGCCTCGGAGTGGAGAGCTGGAACAACAGAGGTGAGTGTACATGGGTGGCAAAGAAAGTGTAGCAAAATCTCTGAAGTTGTGGCAGGAGCCACGGGGGTTGGGCGGACACAGGGTGTAGAGTTCAAGTGTAGCAAAAAGGCCCAAGCAGCCTCAGAAAAAAGCAGGGCTGGGCAGTGGTAGCCGGCCTCCCACAAGCAGTGGGGGATGCTCCCTCAGGGACCCTGGGCTTCCAGGAGTGTTATTCCAAAATTGTCAGTGTGGATCCTTCCTGGGTGCTGGCAGTCACCGGCAGCAGGGAACACACTCCAATAAAGGGGAAGACCTGCTGAGGGGTCTCCCTCACTCCGATGGTGTTTCCCTGACTGAGTCATTAGAGCTGCCCTCTGATCCTGCAGGATGGCTCAGTGCAGGGCCCCGCTAATGGGACACTGACAGAGTGGATGTACACAAGGGTCTTGGCCTTTCTGGGGCACTGACAGAGAAATTAAACTCTAGGGGTCAAGGAAATCTCCTCACACTCAGGGTTGAGGAAGCCTCCTGCTTTCACGTGACAGAGACAAAGGTGGGAATTGTGGCAAAGCCTGGGGAGGACTGCCTGACCCTCTGTCATCTGTAGCTCCTGTTTGGGATGCCTCGGGCACTGTGCTCAGGAACAAGGCCATGGATGCATTTGCACAGGTCTCCTTATGTCTTCCATGAAAGCCTACACTTGTAAAGAAAGGAATGAATGCACAGTGCTCAGAAGAAGAACAGCTGTGTTTATTGACATGGAGGCAGCGCTGGGAGTGGAGGGAAGGAGTTTTTCATCAAATCCTGGGAAATCCATCTTAGCAGTGCAGTTCCAGGTGCAGTGCTGCTCTTTCTTCAGATACAATCAATTGACTGTTGTTATGTGTTACTGCAATGTTATTGTGAGTCTCCCTAGACATCACGAAGTATCCAAATGTGGTTCATTTCTGTTTCTCCGTGTTAAAACTGCAGCTCTTTCAGAGCCCATTGTGTTTCTTTGTCATGGCTTATCACCGATGTTAACTAAACACCACACGGCTGTTTGCTGTTTTGCCCCCTCATTTGGAGAATTGGAAGTGCAAAAGTGAGAAAATTCATTGTTTTAGCACATAACACTTTAACAATAAAGCACACACTGTATGTGTGAGGAAAGCAAAGCAAGGAATTAATCAACTACTTCCCATCCACAGCCAAGAGTTCAACCTATTCCAGAAAGCAGAGCTCTGTCATGTTTAATGGTTACATGGAAATATAAATGTCATCACTCAGTATGCACTCATTCCTTCCTCTTCCACATCTTTATATGCTGAGCATGATGTGCCATGGCCTGGAATCCCCCTTGGGTCAGCTGGGGTCAGCTGAACCAGCTGTGTTCCCTCCCAGATTTTGTGTACCCTCAGCTACTCACTGGTGGGTGGAATGAGGAGCAGAAGAGGCCTTGACTCCATGTAAGAACTGCTCAGCAATAACTCAAACATCCCTGAATTACCAACACTCTTTCAAGCACAGATTGAAAACATGGTCCCATTCTGGCTACTACGAGGAAAATGAACTCCACTCCTCTCCTTTCTCCTGTCCCTTTTCCCTTTTCCAGTCTCTGTCCCTGCCTGTTCCTCTCCTATCCTGGGCTGAGCTCCTGCCTGGCCAAATCCAAGACTCCATGGGAGCCACAGAGGAGCTGAGCAGAGTTGCCCTTCCAGGGTTTTGTCTTTGCCCCAGGGAATTCTGAGCTGGGAAGAGCTGATGTAGTCTGGGCCTTCAGAAAACCAAAGGCTGAGGTAACATCTCACAGTCTCAGGCAGGACTCATTCTTCTCAGCATCAGTATTGCAATTAGCAAGGAGCAGGATTTAGGAAGGAGGGCTGGGAGGTGCTGCAGAGACCAGAGCAGACATTCCCCAGCTGCCCAAGGTTGAAAACCAAGGTTTGTCCTTCTCAGCTGGTGGGGGATAGGTGGTGGAGCAAATATTGACTATGCAGACATGTGCACCTATGGGGATAGGTGGTGGAGCAAATATTGACTATGCAGACATGTGCACCTATGGGGATAGGTGGTGGAGCAAATATTGACTCTGAGGACCCCAGACAGGAGTAAGTGGAATGGCCTGACAAAATCTGTGACTGCATGGAGAGCTCCCATTGGAGCAGGCTCCTGGCAGGAGCTGTGGTCCCATGCAGTGAGTAGCCCATGCCAGAGGAGGTTTTCTGGCAGGGCCCGTGCCCCACAGAGGAGCCACAGTGCCATGGTCACTTCCTGGAGGGCTGCACCCCATGGAAAGGACTCATTAGGCTTTAGGAGTTTGTGAGGAACTGCAGCCAAAGGGAAGAACCTGCACTGGAGAAGTTCCTGGAGAAATGTCATCCATGGATCGGACTCCACACTGAAACGAGGGAAGAGAATGAGAAAGAAGACATGGCAAAGAAATCATGTTTTGAAGTGATTCTAAGCCACATTCAACATCCCTGTGTAGAGATCAGGTGGAGGAGATGTTTCATGCTTTGTTCTTATTTCTCACTGACCTATATTGATTAGATTGGCAATGACATAAATTCCTTTCCCCAAGTCAATGTGTTTGCATATGATGGCACTGCTGGGAAATCTTCCTGTCCTTATCTGGGCCAACAAACATAAATTGTGTGTTTTTCCTCCTGTCCAGTAGAAGAGGGGCACTGGGACAGCATCTTGCTGAGCCCCTGCAGGAGAACCAAAGTGAACTCACCACACTTCAACTCCTTCTTCCTGGTCAGGTGCTCTGTAGCAGCCACCCTTTAGAGCAATGTCATCCCTGCTGATCTGGCATTCCTAAACAGCCTGGCTGCATCCAGAACAGCACTGTGGAAGCTCCAGCCACACATCCCCATCATCCCATGGCTCTGCAGCCAAGGCACCAAGGAGAAATGAGGTTGTCTGTGCTGGACAGGAGCCCAGGCAATGTGCACTAAACCTGCACTTCCCCAAACTGCAGCCTCTGCAGTTGCCAGGACAGATCCTCCTGCACCATCAATGGTACCAGCCCTTCTGGCAGCCTCCCTCCAGTGCCTTCTAGTGCCCCCAGGCCAGAGGGACGTTTCCTGCACCTGCCATTGCCTGACAAGAGCCCTGGGCAGCAGCTGCCAGAAAGAAATGCTGAGAGATCTGTCATCCCCATCTGCTGGTTTTTGGTTCACTCTGCTGCACAGCTGCTCCAGGGTGATTCTTGCCCGACAGTAATACTTTGCTGTATCGCCTGGCTCTGCTGCCCGGATCTGCAGTGTGTAGCTGTTCTTGAACTTCTCATCTTTTATCTGAAAGCGACCCTTGAAACCTTCTCCATAGGTGCCATCCTCCTTGTAAATCCATTCCTGAGAGCCCTGTCGGCGCTCTCGGTACCACGAGACGGTGTAGTACCTCATAGAATCCACCTGCATGCGGCATTGCAAGGTGACTGCTTTTCCCTCTTGCACGGTCACTTCCCTGGGCTGCTCCAAGGTGGCTGCACCGGCGAGCGAGACGGCTGCAGAGAGTGAGAACAAGGCACAATCACTGCAAGATTCAGCAAAGGTCAGGGCAATGCTGGTGGGACCTTGCACTGGCGCTGGACCAGTTCTAGGACAAAATCCTCCTCTTTGAGGCCAGTTGACACAGATGGGCAGAGCTGGTGGCAGCTAGCAAGGCTCACAAGGAAGGAGACACCACATTTCCCTCCATCCTTTTCCCAGTCACACAGGAATCTTTTTCTGATTTTCCCCAAAGAAGCAGGAGGGATTTGCACCATGGCGGGACAAAAAATTCCTTTGTCCTTGCCAAGACAGGATGGTGAGGAGCCCACTGTCCTGTCGCTGAAGCTGCTGTGGGTGAGCAGAGCAAAGACCAAGGGCTGTCCCAGGCAGTGGGGCCTGTGCCCTGTGCTGCCATGGCCCAGCTGGTCTGTGCCAGAGGGGCGGCAGTGGCCCAGGAGCAGTGTCCAGTGCCAGGGCAAAGCGCTGGGCCCCGAGATGTGAGTGCAGCAGGGAGGTGGCCTGCGTGTGCCCAGGCTGCAGAGGAGGCAGCTGGCATGGAGGTGCCGAGCTCAGAGGCACAAGAGGAGCAGGGCTGCTCTCGCCGTGCTCCACAGGCAGGGCTGGGCAGCTGGAGCCGGGGCACAGCTGCGGCTGCAAGCGCTCAGCACAGCTGCCCAGAGCCCTGCAGAGCCCAGGGCCACGCTCAGCTCCTGGGGCCAGCAGCCCTTGCCTTCACTTACCTACAATGGGCAAGAAGCCCAGGCACAGGGCACTCCACATGGCCAGGCCCGCTCTCAGTGGCCTCTCTGCAGCTTCTCTGGGCCTGCACAACAGCTCTGCCCACACCTGCCCTGCCTGGGCCTCTGTCACTGCTCTCAGGCCCAGGCTCTGCTGGTCCCTCCCTCTGCCTATGACAACACTGAGGGGGAGAGGTGGAGCACCAGGAGCACAACTTGAAGCTCTTGCTGCCCTCCTGCCTGTCTCTCACCCTGCGTGGTCCCCATCTTTCTCTTAAGCCCTCTCCATATTCACACTTTGTGTGTTCCTGTGAAAGAGCCTCAGGCTTGATTTGGAGTGACTCAGTGGGAACTCTAGATTGGGAAATTCCAGTCCTAAACCAGAACAGCCTCCTTTGGCATCCAGTGTGGGGCATGAAGGGTTGAGATAAGACCAGATCTGCCCAGAGTGGGCTGCAGACCAATCTGATCTCAGCATTAGTTGTATCAGGTCTGGAGCCAGTGGTGCCAATGCTGCTGGGGCTGTTCCTGTGGCTGTGGGACCTAACCCTGTGTGTGTTCCCCTATGAGCTCCCCATGCTGATATTGTGCAGGGCTGTGGGCACTGAGAAGGGGACTGGGGAGAGGACAGCAACTCTCAGCCTCTGGAGGTGGCTCCTGTCAAGTGTTAGAGAAAGATACTGTCCCAAGGATGATCTAGTAGTGCTCCCAGGCAGGTGGAAGCCCATGGCCAGAGATTCTATTTGTCATCAAAATCAAACTGTGTGTGCACAGTGCCTCTTAGAGGTGTCCACTTTATGAGGGCTGGGGTGTCTCTTCTCTGTCTCCTTGCAGGTTATATTTCAGTACAGGTCACAAAAGAGGAATTTCCCTGGTTGTGGGAGGCTTTGGCATAGCCAGGCATAACTAAGGCCCTCCCTACAGAAATCCTAGATTTGAGATCTCTTTTCAAATTGTGCTTTAGGGAGACAGACATTGCCTGGAGCTCTGCACTCCCCAGTCCTGAATAGATTTGCAGGGGGATGATCGGGTTCTAATTACTTCAGTTCAGACAACATCTGCTGACTGAAATATAAGTCAAAGAGAGAACTTGCCTTACAGTCAGGTAATTAACCATACTCCTTTTGAGTTTCTGTTTATGTTAGATCTAATTTTGTCAGCAAGTTTATGGGATTTTGGGTCACAACAGAGATCGGTCAGATTTTGCCTAGCAGGTGCAGGAATATGATTATTACATTGCATTTTTAATGTGGTATAAGAGCACTGGAGGGTTCAGTGGTACAAAAAGGTGTTTAGTGTTGCCCATTCTCATGGTGTTCTTCACTATGTTTTCCCATGTAACCTCTTGGAGAAAGCTTTATTCTTTCAGGATGCTTTTAATATTCTCTGCCACTGGAGAGAGCTCTCACCATTTTGACTTGATCAGCAGGACAGATGTCAGATACCACACTGCATGTTAGAGAATCAAGGCATTCCTTTATTCTGGCTAGGAGGTGCAACCAAAACCATTTCATCCACACATTGCACGCGTTGTGCAGAGAAAATCCTTCCATCACACAAGGTTTTCATTGAAGTTTTCTTCTACTTCTACATTTGCAACCCAGGGAAATTCATTGGTTCAATGCTCATTGCTCCTAAGTTCCACAGTTTGTAGTGTTTGATTTTTTATGGATCTCTGCTCCTTGGATGTTATTTTGGTTCTCAGTCTTGGTTCTCTCATCAACCTTTTCCCAGACCAGGTGTCTCTGACCTTGCCAGGGCTGATGTTTGGAACTGATGTTCATTAATGGTCGTTATTTTTTGTGTATCTTCTGTGTGGCTCCCAGTCTGCTGGGATGTTTTATATGTCTGCTGAAATTTCTTGATATAGTTTTAGTCAGGGCATTTGTTCACCTTTGCCCAGGGGAGAAGGAACTGAAGTTTCTTTTCAAAGGACTGTTTCAGCACTGCAGGGCCTGAGGGTGTGAGCAGAGCAAGCTCAGTGCAGCAGCCCTTGCTGTGTACCGTGCAGAGGCTCTCTTGAGGGCTGCAGGAACTCAGGCAGGGGCAGCAAAGCCTTATTTCCCCTTCAGGATGTGGTTACCTTGTGTTTTCAAAAGCAGGGGAGGGTTGGTGCTGCCTGGTGTGACTGAGTCAGAAATGGTGACCACAGCATCCTGCCTGTAGCTGGTGAGAGGGGCATGAGCTGGGGAAGGTGTGGGCTGGGCTCTGTTAGGTAAGAGCCAAGTTGCTATGGAAACTATCACTCCATCAAAGCAGCCCAGATTATTTTCTGGTGGCCCCTGCCTCCTGTCCCTGAGTGCAAAACAGCAGCAGGGTTTCTTCCCTGCTGACAGGAGCATTTTCCTCCCTCGTGCCTTCAGCAAGGACTCTCCTGACTGAGGCTCCTGAATGTGCCAGAGACATTTCCCTGCACCAAGTCTGCAAAAGACAAATTCAGCCAACAGGAAATCTGCAATATCAAAGCTGTGTTTCTGATCCCAGTGGGCTTCTAGGGTAGTTGGATTTCAGCAATTTCCATCCAAATTTCAGAAGAATAAGCACAAAAAACCAACAAGATTTTGGGCTAGCAGAACTTTATTTTTGTCCCTACTGCAGAAACCTAAAATGCCCATGCAATACATTTGGCAGAAGAAATACAGGCTTAATCAAGAAGTGAGCATTATCTAGTTGAATAAAATCAGATTCTACAGAGCTCTTCTTATCTGCAATACACATTTTTATTATTAAGTCTATCTAAATCCAAAGCTACAAAAGGCAGCTCGTGGGCTGGAATTCCCCCAGCAGTGCTACTCCAGTTCCTCAGGCAGTAACACAACGTGCCTGGGAAAGGTGCTTCTCAAAGGCATCTCTCAGCAGTGAGCACTGGAGTTTTCAAAGCTACTGAAGCAGGTTGGACACTGGTGTGCAAATGGCAGAAGAGTGGGAGGGATCTCCTTAGCAGGAGGATGAGGATAAATCCACTGTGCTCAGTTGTCAGAGGAGAGGAAAGAGCAAAAGCACTTAAAACTCTTCAGTGTAAATCAGCTGGCCAGGCAGGAGTGAAGAGTGTTGCATGTCTGCAGGGGAAGGTGCTGCCTTGTGTCCTGGCTGGTCTGTCAGCAGCTCTGGCCCTGCTTGTTCAACCCCTTGTGCTGCTGGTTCACGCTCTTTGCTGCTCTTCTTTGGGTTCATTGCCCATGTCTGGAAGAGCAAAGGGAGGTTTAAAGTACATTTAATGAAATTGGGCCTATGAAGCATTGTTTGATAACTGTGAGCTCCCTTACCTCAGAAAAGAAACAACTTGATGCTCATGAGGGTATTGAAGGCGATGCTCTTTGCCAGCAGGACTCTCAACCCCAACACAGCCATGGACAGCATGTTCCCTCTCTGCCCTCCAGCATCTGCTCAGTGACCAGAAAAGAAGGGAGACATCATGGTCTAGGTTTTGGTGCTGTGATCTTGGCAGAAAGTGGAAAATGCACAGGTGAGAGTTTCAGGGAAAGGAAGAGCAGCAAAGGAACAGCCAAGAGAGAACATGGCAACAAGAGGGGAGCCCAGGGTCTGTCTCTGTTGCTTTTTGCTTCCTGGGGCTTGTGTGTAAGTGCAGGAGCAACCTTGGAACAGCAGCTTGTGTGTGCTGAATGTGTTGTGTTCTGAGTCCTGTGCCCTGGAGAAAATACATTTCCCTGCCTTTATCCCGCAGAGAGCAATGTAACCTCAGATCGTGTTTGGGTAACTCACCTTGTGCTGAGGGCTCTGTGCTGTTGCAAACTCTGTCAGTGGCCCCTGACTCTGTTCTGGTTCTGTTTGGTTCCCCAAACCCTGTTATTGGTTCATCAGCCTCCGCTTCTGTAGCACGATAAAGAAAAGGCATTTTAGACTATATCCACCTTTTATAGAGGATAAGAAGAAAATGTTTAGATGACATTTCTCATAGAACATCGGATGAAAGATCAGAGTGGGCCTCAGCTGGTCAGGAATAATTCCAACATTAATTTGAGCAGACAAGTTCTCCATGCAGTTGCAAGAAACAGAAGAATTCCTGCATTGTTTCGTTTTACTCTTTGAATGACCTTCAGGACTAAAAGAGTAAACACGCCAAATATAACAATTCATTCAATTAAAAAACCCTCACAACACACCCCACCTTTAACTTTGTGTTCGTATTGAAAGGGCTCTTCCAACTTGTACTGCAGGCGGTTTCCTGCTCTAGGCTAAAGTATTCAGTCATAAGGAAATTCACATTTTGAAGCAATAGATTGTGTCTTTTCTCCCCAGAAAAGTATCTCAAAGTAATTAAACTGTTGAAACCATTTCTTTCAGATGCTTTGAAACATCTTTCAGCTTTCCATGCTGAAATCCCAAATGTCTTTCTTATTTCTGCTGTCTGCCCAGGGCAGTGCTGTCCAGAAGGAGAACACCAAGCCCCACAGGCCACTGTCTCCAGAAATAAGTGACAGCTGTGCCACCAAACTGTACCTGGCTTTGCTGTTATGGTGCGGTCGCCGAATTTGGCCGTGCAGGTCACCTCTGTGTCTTTTGTCACCCTGACCACTTTAATTGCATTGTACAACCCCTGTGACGTCAGAATGGATGGGCTCTGTTCATAGACCACCTCCTGAGAGGGCATCTCCAAGCTGATGTTCTTTGTAGCGATGTTCTTTGCCAAACAAGCTGCTTTCCCAGAGCTGCCACCTCCTTCCAGTTTCTTTGATTTCATCACAATGACTTTGGGATCAGAAGTTTTTGAAATGCCTGAAAAGAAAAGCAAGGTTTGGACAGGATTGATTTTACTGCAGGCTTGCCCGGGTGCTGAGTGACCCAAAATTCACATGTACTTTATCTGTGACTAATTTGTAACATTCTCATTTACTGTCTTTGATGTCATTATTCCTTGCTATTAGAGGTACAAGTAACAAAAGAAGATTGCTTAAACTTGCAACCCAGCTGTTTTACAAGAAAACTATTGGTCTCAAAAGAATTTAGTTGCCAACAAATCATTGTGGTACCATAATTTGTTTATAAGAGAAAATACCCTTCCCTCTAGGTCAGATCACATTTGGAGAATCAAGGGTGATCTCACAAACCAATGTCAGGA